AAAGCATCAGTGTATGTGTCTACTTTCCATGGATAGAGCGACTTGCACGTGCAAACCATTGACATTAAGTGGCGGGTGGATTTCCATATTGACAATGCGAATAAAAAATGTGCCGTTTTGTAACAGAATGTATCGGAAGTTAAATAACGTAATTATGACATTTCAAAGGACTGATGTGTTTTCCATTATGTTACGAAAGTTTGTGAAACATTCAGTTGTTTATATTTCAAACAAAAACGGAGATTTTACAACTTTTAAGAGTGAGTGAGTGAGTTTAGTTTTACGCCGCACTCGGCAATATTCCAGCTATATGGCGGCGGTCTGTAAATAATCGAGTCTGAACCAGACAATCCAGTGATCAACAGCATGAGCATCGATCTGCGCAATTGGGAACCGATGACATGGGTCAACCAAGTCAGCGAGCCTGACCAACCGATCCCGTTAATCGCCTCTTACGACAAGCATGGGTTACTGAAGATCAATTCTAACACGGACCTTCACGGGTAGACCCATCCTGAGAAACAAACCCGGGCTGTCAGCGTCAGAAGCAAACGCTTTTACGACTAGGTTACGCCCCGTCCCCGATTGATGTGTAGTGGTTCAGAGTAGTTGGTTGCTTGCATTATCTAAAGCACAGCGCACTACGTTATAACGAGCAGTGTAGCAACCCACTATTTTGTAATAACAACGCACTATGTAATAAAAGTTTCAAAGTCCAAAAACTTTGCGGACTTAAGCGATTTTATTACATAACGGGTTATTACAAACTGGGTTACACCAATAGCAACCCACTATGTAATAACAACGCGTTTTGTAATAAACTATCAGAAAACTCAGAAATGTTAACAGTTCATATCATGGAACGGGTTGAAGCTGAAGTTTACACTTAATTAAGGGTGTAGAACACATATTGTCCTCACCGGAAGGAATATCTTCAACTTTGATTTTCAGTCATTTTCCAGCCTTAGGCAAAAGTACCAATGCGCTTTGTAATAAAATCGCCTAAATCCGAACTGTTTTTGGATTTTATTACATAGTGCGTTGTTATTACATAGTGGGTTGCTACAGAGCAGGCCTAAAACCAACTGACGGATGTAACGAAATGGTTTCTGTCCAAGGTCTCCGTTTCGCTTTGTATTTTCGTATTTGCTGTAAGTTTTGTTTCGGAATGCCTGCAAAAAATCTTGAAACAACAAACCAGTGGCTGATAGTGTGACAATCAGACGCTATCAACCAAGCGCAAAACCCGATTCATTACCGTCGCTTCTTAGGTTGCTTAGTCTAAAGTCTAATCACGTTTAGTAGAGAAAACCAAGATTGACATCAGATTTAGACTCGTTTCTGAAATGAACATATTTCAAGAAAATAATTCCTAAATTATGTTCATAAGATATAATGAAAAGGAATCCAAAGACTTTCATTTTCTGAAACTGACTTAATCTATCTTTGTCAGATTCTAAGCCTGCATGGGCTGTAGTGGGTGTACTCGTTTCTGGGTCTGTAGGACAGACAGATCTAGAGTGTCGATCTGTGCAATTTGGAACCGATGACATGTGTCGACCAAGTCAGCGAGCCTGGCCACCCGATCCTGTTAGTCGCCTCTTACGACAAGCATGGGTTGCTGAAGATCAATACTTATCTCCAACCTCAACCAATAAGAGAGCGGGTGGGCAAAATATATGAACATTAACTAAACTCGTTAAATTGTTAAACTTAGTTTATCATTTAGTCTTGAAAATTACTTATGATGTGGATCGAGTGGTTTTGCGTTTCAAACATGTTTTTATTAAATTAGATTAAAAAAACCCAGGCAAGATGAGCAGACAAGAGTATATTTTATTACATCAGGCCATAGATCTCTACGGCGGCAAAGAAAATAATTGATAACACCACATTTTATTATGTCATGGAGGCGGGAGGGAAATGGAAATCAGAATACCAGACGGACAGCCTTATGATATATTTGAGAAATCTAGTTTTAAAGCGTATGCTTTCTTTTGTCAGTCATTCATTTGCTATATACAATACGTAATGATATATAATTAAAGCTCTTAATAATTGTAGCAGCAAACATCAGTGTATACTTTCTTTCGACCGACAGTTCAGTTATTTTTTGTGGTTGCGTGAATAGCGCGCAGTGTGATGTAAGGGAGACAACTCCTGACGGAACGTGCATTTATGGATTTTTTCTATCTGTTTTCCTATAAACGAGTTCTTTCTTTTCAGAAGTGAAATAGTAACTACCTGAAGTTTTAAAATATAAACTATTTGAAGCATATATGTTAATAATCTTATTGGCATTGCCCAGCCCAGCCCAGCCCAGCCCACATTGTGGAACAGATTCGGGTGATGAACCTATCTCCAAAGTAAATAGTGCAGCGGACAGTCAGACTAACTGACTGAGTTTGGTTTTACGCCGCTTTTAGCAATATTCCAGCAACATCACGGCGGGGGACACCAGAAATGGGCTTCACACATTGTACCCTGGTCTTCGGCGTGACGAGCCAACGCTTTAACCATTAGGCTACCCCACCGCCCCGGACAGTCAGAAGAGTAACCATATAACTACAAAGGACTCCCTCTAAACCGACATCGCTCGGGACCGGTGAAAAATGTCGGTTTTGAGAGAGTTTTTAGAAGCTTAACATGTGATTTCACCAATCTATGACTCCATTGAACAAGTAATTATTTGTTTGATTAACATTTTAGAACTTGGTGAGTAATAAGCAAGTAATGACCAGTTACTCCTATTACACCTTGCCAGGCCACCTCTCGTACTGTGAGCGTGTTGTTTGCTAAATACACACCGTATTTTGGCTGATGCAACCTCTTGTGAAATTACGATGTCGGTTTAGAGAAAGTCAATTTGCACTAAAAACGTGTTGGGGACCGGATTTGAGGTGAGGTGAGGTGAGGTGAGGTGAGGTGAAATGGGGTCGTACTTGAGAATATTTCGCTCATATGACGACGTGCATGCGTGTGTATGTGCGGCTGCTTGTTCTAGCCCAGACTGAAGCTGGTTTTATAGTGCTAGCCCACTGAGATAACATGCCGCAGTGAAGCATGAATACCCCACTCAGACACAGTATACTGACTCCGAGTCGACCAGTCCTTGTTGTACCCATGAATGCCGAGCGCCAGGCAGGGACCAACAAGTACCATATATATCCATTTGTGGTGTTTATGTTGACATGTTTCGCCCACCGTGTGTATCCAACCCGTGAAGATCCGGGTTAGAATATTGATCTTTAGTAACCTATGCTTGTGATCGGGTGGTCAGGCTCGCTGGTTTGGTTGACACATGTGATCGGTTCCCAATTGCGTAGATCGATGCTCATGCTGTTGATCACTGGGTTGTCTGGACCAGACTCGATTATTTACAGACCGCCGCCATATAGCTGGAATATTGCCTGAGTGCGGCGTAAAACTAAACTCACTCACTCAAAGTTCCAGGTGTAATTAAAGAATAGCCTATAATTTGTTAATCCTGTTTCTAATTGCTCCAAATTATATCATGGACAGTGCGACTGTACAGAAAATATTGTTGAATAAGCATTGAATATTTGTCGCATTTCTGCAGGTAAAATATACTCATGCCAATAATGGTTGTCACCCCCTTCAATTGTTTTTATTGGAGAGGGTGTGTGGGGTTGGGTGTTGGATGTGTGTTGGGGTGGGAGTGGGTTGACAACCATTATTGGCATGAGTATATAACAATAGGTGTACAGACTGTATAAATCTGGGTAGTTTCTTCAAGTTGGCAAAAAAATATTAACGTCAATGCTTATCAATAACTACGTCAAAATAATATCCCAGATTACTACGGACATGTTGACAAGAAAGAAAGTGAGAATTGAATGCTGCAATTATCATTATTCCAGTAATATCTCCAGAAACGGGCTCCACAAAAGATAACCAAGTTGGAATCAAACCTATGTTTTAGGCGTGACGAGCAAACGCTTTAACCACTAGGCTACCCTCCACCTGGGACAATACCGAAACGCGATAATGCAACACCTGCTCCGCCCATTCTGTTATCAGTGAAAAAGGAAAACAGTCAACTGGTGGGCGTGGCTTATTTTCGGTAAGGGGAAACATAAAAACAAAACGAATTCCAGACTCAATACCGTTTCGAAATACGCATCATTTAGAAAAGCAGGTAAAATCCCCGAATCATCATCATCATCATCATTATCATCACCACCACCATCATCATCATCATCATCATCACCATCCTCCTCCTCCTCTTCCTCCTCCTCCTCATCATCATCCTCATCATCGTCATCAGACTCACTTACTATTTATGAGCTTGAATTTCCTATCCGCGTGAATAACATGTCGGATAAAATGGCGGATATCGGGTCAGTGATTGGTTACCTCTGACTGGTCAATGACTGTGTTTGATTGACAGGTGATGAGTTAATAACATCCTGCTCTCGTGTGATAACACCCGTATTGGTTTTGTATGTGCAAAGGCAAATCGTCTAAAATCAAATCAAACCACATTCCAAAAAGGGACCCGTGAAGATCCGGATTAGAAGTGATCTTCAGTGACCCATGCTTGTTGTAAGAGGTGACTAACGGGATCGTCGTCAGGCTCGCCGACTTGGTTGACACATATCATCGTATCCCAATTGCGTAGATCGAAGCTCATCATGTTAATCACTAAATTGTCTGGTCCAGACACGATTATGGACAGACTGCTGCCATATAGCTGGAATATTGCTGAGTGAGGTGTACAACAACATACACTCGATAAATACAACGCAAATACAAATTTGAGTGAGTGAGTTTAGTTTTACGAAGCTTTTAGCAATATACCAGCAATATCACGGCGGGGGACACCAGAAATAGGCTTCACACATTGTACCCATGTGGGGACTCGAAGCTGGGTCTTCAGCCTGACGAGCGGACGCTTTAACCATTAGGCTACACCGCCGCCCCCAATACATATCTGAAAGTGGTATTCCTTTGTATGACAAACACAAGAGAGAGGTAAGTACAATCTATACAATTTATTAGAAATACACTAATTACACGTCTGTAAAGGAAAGCATCTGTACAAAAGACAATATCAACTTTTGTCAATATTGTGACAATTCGGGGGATATTTCAAATCTACTCGTCGTAATACACGAGATCCTCGCATTCCACCCACTTCTTGTCAACGAAAAACATGGGTATACAGTCATGGTTTTCACAGGCATCGAATCTGAAAACAAACAGCATTTGTGGCCATTAGTCTAAAAATACATGATTTAATTACATAAAATGTGTCCGGGAATACCGAATTCTTATTTGGTTTTCTTGTTGTTTAACGCCGCACTCATCAATATCCCAGCTATATGGCGGCGGTCTGTAAATAATCGAGTCTGGGCCAAACAATCCAGTGATCAACTGCACTAGTATCGATCCGCGAAATTGGGATGCGATGACATGTGTCAACCAAGTCAGCGTAAATGACCACCCGATCCCGTTAGTCGCCTCTTACGACATGCATGGGTTACTGAAGACCAATTCTAACCCGGATCTTCACGGGTTGTGAATTCCTGATAGTCATCAAACTATGCCATGGCATGTACTGCATGTAGATAAACAAACATCGTAACACAAAAGTAATTAAGTAAACAACGATGGTCTTTGTTTTTGTAAGAAAACCTTTTTCCAAAAAGGCTGGTCTATTTTTATTGAGTTATCTATTTACGTCACAAACCATTTTGAATAAATTTTCTAACTTTTGGCAAAAAGCCAAAAGATTCGCCGACGTTTATCACTGTGAGAGTGAGTGTGGGTTGATGCCACTCTCTATAGTGTTTCAGTGGCATTAAGCTGCGTTGTTGTACGTTGGTACATGTGGGGAAACCCATCAGCACTGTTTTGATGGTGGCAAAGCTTGGACTCAAACCATCAACCATAGGCTACTGACACGCCATTCTGTCTCTAGCAATAGGACCAACACGTCCCTAGTTAATCACTAAAATAGAATAATATAAAGACAAACCAAAAATCAAAGCTAAAGAAAAAAATCCAAAAACTAAAACGATAAGAACCCCAAAGAATATTTTTAAAATAAATAAATAAATAAATAAATAAATATGTTTAAACATCAAATTTAAAAATGCCGCCAACAAACCACCTCCCTCTAGACATCAATAAAACAATTTAACCTCCCCCCCCCCACAAAAAAAATAAAGTAAATAATAATAATAAAAAAATAATAATAATTTTTTTTTTAAATATTAAAAAAAGTAATAATAATTCGATCCAACGCAAACCCAGCCAGGGAAGCAGTATCAACTTACTTGCAGACGGCCTCAGGGATGTCAGCACAAGGCTGGTCAGCAAACATGTTGCACGGATCCCAGGCACAGAAGCTCATGTAGCTAAACGATTCTTCCCGTGGGGGACATTCATACCCCTCCTCCCGTCGGGCCACCTTGCCCACCTCTCTGCTCACGGCTGGCGAGAAAAACATACTCACTATAGCATCTCATATTATATAGACTGTTTTAATACTGGTTTAAAGGTTATTATGGACTGACTGACTGACTGAGTTTGGTTTTACGCCGCTTTTAGCAATATTCCAGCAATATCACGGCGGGGGACACCAGAAATGGGCTTCACACATTGTACCCATGTGGGGAATCGAACCCGGGTCTTCGGCGTGACGAGCGAACGCTTTAACCACTAGACTACCCCACCGCCCCGGTTATTATGGAATATTATGATGAACACCGACTGCCGATAACCACGTGTCATTACATTTGTGTGGTATTTGCGTGGGTGAATCTCCTTGGGATTCGCCGTTGTTTAACAGTAGAGAGTGCGTATGGTTTTACGCCGCTTTTAGCAATATTCCAGATTATGACAGAACGGAACGCCAGAAATGGGCTTAACACATTGTTCCCATGTGGGGCATCGAAAATTCTAGCAATCCTTTTGCAGGGGAACCAAACTTAAATGCGTAACTTACTATAAAGAGATAAATGAACGAACGAACGAATGAATTAATGAATTTATAAATAAGCTCGTAAATATAATCCGAACACAATCTCTCCTACCCTCCTATCTTCATCAATGTCATCTTACAATACCTATCTTGCCAAGTCAGGTAGGAATTCAACTGCTAACATTCATACTGATGCAAAACAAGACGATAGCGTTGATAAATTAAAGAGCATTCGTGCAGCCCGTCAACACTTTTTTTCAGAGGGCCATTCATAAACTATTCTCCATTGCTTTGCCCTTTTCGGCCAATGGGGGGTGATCGAGAGTGGTAGTGGAGTTGGCCTTCCGAGCACAGCACCTTCTAAATGCCAGATACGATACAAGGTTGATTACATGTCACCCTTGATATTAACAAGATATATACAACTGTCAGTGTAATGAATGACGTGAACCTTGTACTACGTTCTTGTTATGTACAAGTTAATTACAAGTACGAAGTTAATTAACCCGCATTTAAATATCACGGTGGTATTAATCACCCACTAATAACATTCTCATTGATTACGCATGTTAACACTGGTTTGCTGCAGACCAAGATAAAACAAATATGAAACAAAATTGATGTGGTTCTGTAGTGCATGTCGTCAGATTTGGATAACTGCATGGACCACGGATAAATTGCCCGCTGACAATTTCAGCTTTAGAAATACTTTCAGAGGAAATCTAACCACAGGCAACTCCACAACTGAAGGTAAATATTTCACCAAACGTTTGTAGCCAAAGCGTTAAAGAATTCTAAAACTCAGATTATTTGTTAAATGTTGCAAATCCTGATGGTGCCATATGATCTCTCCTCTTTCTGAATGTATGGGTACAATGTGTGAAGCTCATTTCTGGTGTACCCCACCGTGATATTGCTGGAATATTTCTACAAAAGCGGCGTAAAACCAAACTCACTCACTCACTTTCTGAATGTGAAAGGTATACGTTATTGACAACTGTCATAATGAAATGTACATTTGCGTTTGAGCTCGCTTCCGCTTAAAATATTTTTTTGATAAAAATTAATACGAAATAAATATATTGAAACTCAATCTGAATTGCAAGACATTGACAAGATTGATGCAATTTATTGATAAGAACGTCTTTACTCTTGCTTGCTTTATGAGTCTGTGCACTAAATATACATATACGTTATATTAAACTTATCGCAACTAAATAACCAAATGATGACAAAATAATAAAAACAACACTTACAAAATAGATGCTATTTAAGTCAACAACTTCCTGACCATACTATTCTTGTGATGTTCTAGTATGATGGAAGTATTTCATATTTTGGCTGGATTTTTTCAAACTGCATTCGCATTTTGAAGGGTCTACCATTTCCAAGCATCAATGCACACAAAGGAATTGACTCGAAAATGTTTACGTCAGAAATTGTCTTGCCTACGATGCGAAACATTGAGTGAGTGAGTTAAATTTTAGCGTCACATCGGCAATATTTCAGCCATATCGTGTCGAGAACAATTTATAAATTAGAGATGAATACAATTGAAAGATTAAAACCTGTCGTCGATCGACAGTGAAAGTAGCAGAGTATCATAGATATTAGGGTAATACTCGCATGTTAGCATGCAAAGATGTCATTAAATAGAGTGAGTGAGTGAGTTAATATTTAACGTCACATCGGCAATATCTCAGCCATATCGTGTCGAGTACAATTTATAAATTAGAGATGAATACATTTGAAAGATTAAAACCTGTCGTCGATGTACAGTAAAACTAGCAGAGTATCATAGATATTAAGATAATACTCGTATGTTAGCATAAAAAGATGTCATTAAATAGAACAATACAATGTAAAAACGCGCTGTAGATCACCAGCAACTGAAGGCAGATCACCACACTTGAGACCATGGGGACTTACAGTACTTTTCCTTCCTACATTCACGTACCTAGATTTATACCATACATTCAGGTGCTGGCGATTTGGGAGCCGATTAACCATACATTAAAACACCATCAAATCAACGATTAAAATTCGGAGAATGAAAAATACCTTGACAATAGTTCATTTAAGTTCATGGGTTCGTGAGAAGGCATGGAAAGGTTCAACACAATGCGAGAAAACTGCACTTACCAGCTCCGACTACGACAAGGAGAATGCACAGGACCTTCATTTTTCTCAACGTCTGAGACCGCTCACAATCAAAACAAGGAATATCTACTATAACCCAACTCCGAAACAAGTGGGAATTTATACACTTCAGAAAACGCCAACTAGCGTCCAAAGCCCACAACAAATTACAAATTTTAATCCAATTAAGATTCATTACTGGTGTTAATTGCTATGGGAGTAGAAGTCACGTCGTTTATTATACGAATCTCGGCATTTTTATCACTGGGCGGTCGGCCATCTGTGACGATGGACACTCGGGAGTTGCATTAGCTTCCGAGGCGTGAATTTCCATAAAGAGGTTTCTTAGCTAATGCTATATTTATCTAAATGTCAACAGTAAATTATTACGTAGTACTTATTTCCAATCGGAGATAAAAATGCGTCTGGCATTGACACGGGACATTGGTTTGAACTTTCCGGAATAATTGGTTAAATTTATCGGTGCTTTGTTTTGCTTTCGAGGGTATTTTCTCTTTCGTTTCAAGTAATTTGTAATCAGTGGGAATCAAATGTCGAATTTAAGCGTGAGAGGTTAATGTGCATTACTGCAATTTATGGTTATAATTACTTCAATCTAATTCACGTTGTGAAATTATCTTGAGGGATATTATAATTAATGTGGTATTCTTGTGGGTATAAGTTGTTCAAGTTGACGAATGCATTTTTTACTCAGTAATTAGTAATAATCGATATAAAATATTCGTAAACTTGCAAACTAAAACGATGTGGGTCACCTATATAGTCTAGCGGACCGAGCGGCTGATTGGGGAGCATATGGTCTGTGGTTCGAACCCTGCCTCGTCATGTTAAAAAATGTTGGACGATGGTGCACATTGCTAACTCGACGTTCTCAGTTTAGGGAATAAAACACGAATATTCGAGAATATGAACTCTGAGTGGTGCATCGATGTTTACCAAAAACGAAGTCAAACTACACTTTACCTCACTTACCAGACCCGTGAAGGTCCGTGATAGAATATTGATCTTCAGTAACCCATGCTTGTCGTAATAGGCGACTAACGGGATCGGGTGGTCAGGCTCGCTGACTTGGTTGACACATGTCATCGGTTCCCAATTGCGTAAATCGATGCTCATGCTGTTGATCACTGGATTGTCTGGTCCAGACTCGATTATTTACAACCGCCGCCATATAGCTGGAATGTTGCTTAGTGCGGCGTAAAACTAAACTCACTCACTCACTCACTTAGGCAGGGCTTACATTACGTCCGTTTTTTTAACGCATGCGTTATGCGTTGCGTTTTTGCTCTTACACTATATGCGTGGATTTGCGTTTTGAACATGCGTTAGATGGCGGCCATAGCTGTGATGAGTATGGTGTTGGAGGAAGAGGAGGAATTCGAAGAAGAGGAGGAATTAATCACAACCACAGCAGTTATGTAAATAGTATTATATGGTATATTACTTAATATTTCTGAAATAGTTTAAGTCATATACAAACAGATAAAGCATTCTGGAGTGATAAGTCATCCAATTACGAGGATTACATGTTACATGTTACATGTTACAAAATCAACTCACCGGAACTACTCACGTGTTGGCAAAATACCTTGTTAAAATGGCGTCATCAAGGGAATTCCCTCTGCGTTTCAATTTGCGTTGCGTCAAAAATACTGTCAGACCTATTTTCAACGCAGCGCAGCGCAACGCACCCAAAAAACGGACGTAGTGTAAGGTATAAATGATAAAATAACTGACTTGCGTTTTTTGGACGTAACGCACGACGCAACGCAAGAAAAAACGGACGTAATGTAAGCCCTGCCTTACCACGTATATGAGGACAGCTGGTTTAAGATCGTTATTGAATCTCTGTCGAATAGCAAGATAACATTGCAGCATGTAAATCGCAATAAAGCAAGCAGATAACATGTTTCGGAGACAGGGATTAGGTGCTTGAGGTGAACTGCCTTTGATACTTTTACTGGAAAACCAAATTTGGTGGTAAAGACCTGTCAGTTTGAGCCTTGAGTGAATTTGTTTAAAACGGGTTTGAGCAATATTTCAGTTCGAAGCCTGAGAAAATGTTGTTGTTTTTTGGTGAATATCAATTATTTATTCTATTTTGTAATGCAAACCAATAATAGCGATTTGAAACTATGATCGTTTGTTAAACAACTTTTATCCTAAGTTGAATAAAATTCTGAGATTTGAATGTTCATTTATGAACATCAAAATCAGTACTAATGCAGTAATCTTTACACCTCACTGATTAAAACTTTATTATTAATTCGTATATTCGCCCGCTGAGATGATCGTACCTTCTATCATAATCAACTTATCCAAAGTGCCAAATCTTTTACTTTCATTCAAGAATTTATGAACATCAAAATCAGTACTAATTCAGTAATCTTTACACCTCACTGATTAAAACTTTATTATTATTTCGTCTATTCGCCTGCTGAGCTCATCGTACCCTCTATCATAAGGGCAGCATTTTTATTTTTTTGTGTTTCTCATGCCCGACCGATCCTTCTAATGTTATTGCCGATCTCCCTTAAAAACTATTCTGTTTATCATTCCAACACCGCCGACGGGAACCGTCATATAAAATGTGGGCAAGCTGGCTAAAGCGCCAGGTTAGTGATTCAGTGAGCTTCAGGTGCCGGGATCGAGGCCACTTGTGACCGGGTGTAAAAACCTTGGAGTCAACTTTGTGTGCAGACTCTTTCAGTGTTGTCACAACCCCTAGTGTACAGTACACAACCCTGTGCACTTAAAAGAACCCACGAATCCGTTGGTAGATGATGGCCACATGAATACGTGCAAACACCTAGTTGAGGGTACAGCAACGTGCAGTAAACTTGGACAAAGTACTGTGACTATGTGTCCCAGTCCACCCAGCTGTGAATGGGTACCTCGTTAGGATGAGAAAGCCGTAAAACTCGGTGCGCCTAGTGGCTGCAAGAGTTGTATACTCCCTAGGGAGCTGAGATTGATAATACGATGTGCAGCTGAGATTGACATCCAGTGATCGCGGGATATACCAGCGCCTTGAGCATGTACTAGTAACGTCGATATGTGCGCTATATAAATATCATATGATAAAAATAAAACACTGCCACAAGTCTACTACAGAACGCGAGAAATTGTAAGAAGAATTATGGTAAATGAGCATCAAGAACATTATTCAGATAGTTATGTCTTTATTAAGTATTTTTTCTTTTACCCGACCGACCCATGTTCAGAATTTGGTGACTACGTCAAACACAAAAAAATTAAAATGGTGCCCTAACTTATCAGAAGTACGATAAAACAACGTTACTTTGACACACCATATGCGTCTTGTACACATAAGTGTTTAAGTGAAATGAAAGACGTTTAATATATCGTTGCCAAATACTCGAGACCGCTTCGAAATGGCACAAAACAAACAGGACCAGGGAAAGTCAAAACAAGATGAATGCAAATTAACAACAAAACGTGATGGGTCATTCCATGTTGACAATAACTCATTTGGAGTCACATTTTAGATGCCGTGTCAGAAAAAATGTTGCAGAGAACATAATCACGGAAATGCGTTCCAATAATTTACATAAACATCTAATTGGTGAAAATGGTCGATAATTAACCGGACCGATTTTTAAATAATGTCATCAAACTACTGATTTTCCTCTGTGCGGGATGTCCTCGCACTACATTATATAGTCGACAAGTGGCGTCTTGTGGCAGTGGGTACAAGCAGACAGGAGTCTAGCTGTTTCCATGCTTGTCCACCAGTCTGCCAATGGTATCCGGCTTACTGACTATCTAAACATATGGAGGCTGCTGGTTTGTTCCTACAAATAATACAGTTATCTTATCGAGGGAGTGTCTAAGTGAAAATACTTTGCGAACAAAATTTGTCAGGTGATGAGATTGCCTCAAAATAATTATACACTTGAATATTTACCAGAAAAGACAAAATATTTTCATTCACGTTTATCTTTTACTGAAAACTGTAGTGTCGTGATGTCAGACAGTAGTTAGGGCATAAAATATTCTTCCACAGTGATATATTGATTTTACGTTTTCAGATAAATTCAGAATCTCAACACTAAATCCATGCTGTTCTGTTTCCAGATTTCGAAACAAATTGTCATAATAAGGCATATGGAATTTTTCATTTATTATTATTACATATCAATTTAAAATTGTAAACAATTATACCAGCAATTTATTCTACCGGTTGTTGATTGATCAACTCAGTTGTTTCCATTATGTAGTGTTATTCTGTGATTTTCATGTCTACAGAATCGCAGTAACTGTGAATCGTTTCAGCTGCTTATCAAGATACTTTGACTTTTCCACCAGATATTGGGATGGTGATGATGATGATGATGATGATGATGATGATGATGATGATGATGATGATGATGATGATGATGATGATGACGATTGTTGATGGGAAAGGGCCTCATGCCATATAGTTTACATCTTCTGTTTTATTCATAATTTTCCTCTCTCGCGCTTCCAGTGACTGTGAGGTAACCCATGGTTTGTTGTAAGATTGTATTTTGATTTCCTTGGAAAAGAGAAGTGCCACGAAGCTTCCTTTGTAACTAGGTATACAATATAAACGGTGCCAAAGACTGATAGTGGGCATTCCTTGGTATTGGGGGATATAAGTCAAACACCAATCTTTCGAACCTATAGATGTGTCGAAAGAAAAGCTGTGTCCCTACTTATGCTTATTTACTTACCATTTTGCAACTGTGTCGAATCCGGATAACACGAAGTATGTACCTAAGTGCCTTCAGATTCGACACAAAGGTTTTGGACGTTGGTAACTTTCAAATATGCCAGGGGCGGTGGGGTAGCCTAGTGGGTAAAGCGTTGGCTCGTCACGCCGAAGGCCCAGGTTCGATTCCCCACATGGGTACAATGTGTGAAGCCCATTTCTGGAGTTTCTCGCAGTGGTATTGCTGGAATATCGCTAAAAGCGGCATAAAACTAAACTCACTCACTCAAAAACGTTACAGACGAAACAGACAACCGAAAAACAATATATACACTTTATTAGAAACATGACATAAATTACACGTATAGGAAAGTATGTACACAACACTATGAATATATCAGTCTTTGTAATATGTTTAAAATAGAGATGAGCTCAATACTGTCTATACACGAGATCTCTACATTCCACCCACTGCTTGTCCACGAAGAACATGGGGATACAGTCGTGGTTGGGGCACACGTCTAATCTGAAACAAATACATCCTGATTTAGAATGAGGATGAAGCTAATAATTCAATGATATATACTCTCCCAAAAAAGAAACGCGTCATGAAAATAGCAATTTCATGTAGCAATGAATTAAAACGTGATTCATTTTACAAAAGTCCGTAAGTACCCGTATTTAACTGCATGATTTTCAATTTCGGCGTGTAGTGTCACAGAATACACAATTCACATGCAATGCACGTGAAAGTTGGGGATCAGAAAAGGTTGATCGCTCTCTGTCGATTATTCACTGTATTTGGAATATTGTTGACGAACGCAAAATCCTACGCCCACACCTCCTTCCAATCATTGATCGCCAGAGGGAGTTGTTTCAACAGGACAATGCCAGGCCGCACACAGCACGTCTCACTAGAGACTTCCTCCAGAACCACAACATCAATGTGCTCCCCTGGCCCTTAAGATCACCGGACTTAAACCCGATCGAACATCTGTGGGATGCCCTGGACAGACGGGGGCGACGCCGTAACCCTCAGCCGCAGACACTTCAGCAACTTGCACAGGCACTACAGGCAGAGTGGGCTGCGATTGGGCAACACGAGATTCTGAAACTTCGTTCGATGCCGAGGCGGTGCCGTGCAGTTCTGGATGCCCACAGTGGTCACACGAGGTATTGACTTCAGCGCCACCACACGTCTCCATGTGACACTCAAACTGACTTTCCTCGAGCTGGTGCCAAAGACGGATCAGTCTGCATTCCCAGTGTGCAATTTCGCTATATTTCATTGACTCAAAAAGCCTACAAGATGTTTCAAAATGAACATAACAATACAGCTTTGAGCTAACCCTGGGCATTAGGTCTGACAGAGTCTGATCTTACACTAGCCCATCTACAGTATACCCTGGTTATAATGCCACCGTTTGTCCAGGAGGAAATATGACGTTATATCCAGGGTGGCATTATAACCAGGTAGGACCTCAACAGGATGGTCAGTGGTACGGAGTCAGTGGTATGGAGTCAGTGGTAGGAAGTCAGTGGTATGGAGTCAGTGGTATGGAGTCAGTGGTATGGAGTCAGTGGTATGGAGTCAGTGGTATGGAGTCAGTGGTATGGAGTCAGTGGTATGGAGTCAGTGGTATGGAGTCAGTGGTAGTGGTATGGAGGAGTCAGTGGTATGGAGTCAGTGGTATGGAGTCAGTGTGGTGGAGTCAGTGGTATGGAGTCAGTGGTATGGAGTCAGTGGTATGGAGTCAGTGGTATGGAGTCAGTGGTATGGAGTCAGTGGTATGGAGTCAGTGGTACGGAGTCAGTGATATGGAGTCAGTGGTATGGAGTCAGTGGTATGGAGTCAGGAGTCAGTGGTATGGAGTCAGTGGTACGGAGTCAGTGGTATGGAGTCAGTGGTATGGAGTCAGTGGTATGGAGTCAGTGGTATGGAGTCAGTGGTATGGAGTCAGTGGTATGGAGTCAGTGGTACGGAGTCATGGAGTCAGTGGTATGGAGTCAGTGGTATGGAGTCAGTGGTATGGAGTCAGTGGTACGGAGTCAGTGGAGTCAGTGGTATGGAGTCAGTGGTATGGAGTCAGTGGTGGGTCAGTGGAGTCAGTGGTATGGAGTCAGTGGTATGGAGTCAGTGGTGGAGTCAGTGGTATGGAGTCAGTGGTATGGAGTCAGTGGTATGGAGTGGTATGGAGTCAGTGGTATGGAGTCAGTGGTATGGAGTCAGTGGTATGGAGTCAGTGGTAGTCATGGAGTCAGTGGTATGGAGTCAGTGGTATGGAGTCAGTGGTATGGAGTCAGTGGTACGGTATAGGTCGGAGTCAGTGGTATGGAGTCAGTGGTATGGGAGTCAGTGGTACGGAGTCAGTGGTATGGAGTCAGTGGTATGGAGTCAGTGGTGGAGTCAGAGTCAGTGGTGGTATGGAGTCAGTGGTATGGAGTCAGTGGTATGGAGTCAGTGGTATGGAGTCAGTGGTATGGAGTCAGTGGTATGGAGTCAGTGGTATGGAGTCAGTGGTACAGGAGTCAGTGGTACGGAGTCAGTGGTAGTCAGTGGGAGTCAGTGGTATGGAGTCAGTGGTATGGAGTCAGTGGTATGGAGTCAGTGTGGTATGGAGTCAGTGGTATGGAGTCAGTGAGTCATGGAGTCAGTGGTATGGAGTCAGTGGTATGGAGTCAGTGGTATGGAGTCAGTGGTATGGAGTCAGTGGAGTCAGTATGGAGTCAGTGGTATGGAGTCAGTGGTATGGAGTCAGTGGTACGGAGTCAGTGGTGGATGGAGTCAGTGGTATGGAGAGTGGTACAGGTCAGTGGTATGGAGTCAGTGGTCATGGGAGTCAGTGGTGGTCAGTGGTACGGAGTCAGTGGTATGGAGTCAGTGGTATGGAGTCAGTGGTATGGAGTCAGTGGTATGGAGTCAGTGGTATGGAGTCAGTGGTATGGAGTCAGTGGTATAGTCAGTGGGAGTCAGTCAGGGTATATGGGAGTCAGTGGTATGGAGTGGTATGGGAGTCAGTGATATGGAGTCAGTGAGTCAGTGGTACGGGTCAGTGGTATGGAGTCAGTGGTATGGAGTCAGTGGTATGGAGTCAGTGGTGGTCATGGAGTCAGTGGTATGGAGTCAGTCAGTGGTATGGAGTCAGTGGTATGGAGTCAGTGGTATGGAGTCAGTGGTACGGAGTCAGTGGTGAGTCATGGAGTCAGTGGTATGGAGTCCAGTGGTATGGAAGTCAGTGGTATGGAGTCAGTGGTATGGAGTCAGTGGTATGGAGTCAGTGGTATGGAGTCAGTGGTATGAAGTCAGTGGTACGGAGTCAGTGGTATGGAGTGGTATGGAGTCAGTGGTATGGAGTCAGTGGTATGGGTAGTGGGAGTCAGTGGTATGGAGTCAGTGGTATGGAGTCAGTGGATATATGGAGTCAGTGGTATGGAGTCAGTGGTATGGAGTCAGTGGTATGGAGTCAGTGGTGAAGTCAGTGGGAGTCAGTGAGTCATGGAGTCAGTGGGTCAGTGGAGTCAGTGGTATGGAGTCAGTGGTATGGAGTCAGTGGTATGGAGTCAGTGGTATGGGAGTCAGTGGTATGGAGTCAGTGGTATGGAGTATGAGTCAGTGGTATGGAGTCAGTGGTACGGAGTCAGTGGTATGGTATGGAGTCAGTGGTATGGAGTCAGTGGTATGGAGTCAGTGGTATGGAGTCAGTGGTATGAGTCCAGTGGTACCCGGAGTCAGTGGTACAGTGGTACGGAGTCAGTGGTATGGAGTCAGTGGTATGGAGTCAGTGGTATGGAGTCAGTGGTATGGAGTCAGTGGTATGGAGTCAGTGGTCAGTCAGTGGTATGGAGTCAGTGGTATGGAGTCAGTGGTATGGAGTCAGTGGTATGGAGTCAGTGGTATGGAGTCAGTGGTATGGAGTCAGTGGTATGGAGTCAGTGGTACGGAGTCAGTGGTATGGAGTCAGTGGTATGGACAGTGGTATGGAGTCAGTGGTTGGATACGGAGGTCAGTGGTATGGAGTCAATGATATTGAGTCATGGTTGATCTCAGGTCTCCTGTAATGAGCCTTGAATGACTGGATAATCCCAGCGTCTTGGCACTGCAGGTGATTTGTTGCAGATGGCAGTAAGTGTATTGTCACATGTGTTGAATACTTAAAGCATTAATGAGTTTGTTCAATTCATCTGGGTCATGCCAATTAAGGTATGTATACTACATGCAGCCAGTGTAATTGGCATTATAACCAGGGAAAAATGCCTTTTATTCGCAAAAACATTGGTAAATGGCATTATATCCATTTTGGCATTATAACTAGGGTATTATAAGGCAGGAATCCATTCTGTCAAAAATATGGCATTACGTGAATATCCAGGGTGGCATTATAACCAGGGGCATTATAACCGGGTACACTGTACTTACTTGCAGACGGCGCCAGGAAAGTCAGCACACGGCTCATCAGCAAATATCTCGCATGGATCCCAGACACAGAAGCTCATGTAGGTGAAGGATTTTTCCAGTGGGGGACAGACGTAGTTCCCATCCCGTCGAGCCACCTTGCCCACCTCTTTGCAGACGGCTGTTGAGTAACATAAACCACTATAACATCTCGTATTCTGTTACATATAAATCTTGTCCAGTTAAGACGTACTTTATAAAGGACAAATATGCTGAGTTCTTTCAATCAAGACCCGTGAAGGTCCGGGTTAGAATTGATCTTCAGTAACACATGCTTGTCGTAAGAGGCGACTAACGGGATCGGGTGGTCAGGGTCGCTGGCTTGGTTGACACATGTCATCGGTCATCGGAGTGCGGCGTAAAACTAAACTGACTCACTCACTCACTCTTTCAATCAAAATTTTAATAATTTTGGGAGTTTATGGAAATCCCTTTCTGGGAATCGAGGTTTTCTGAGTTTCCACACCGCTTCACTATCTTTTCATTGTCAGTTAAAATTTTCCCAGCAGAGTGGAATATTAATATTGACCCGGTTATCAGTGACATAACATCAGAATCAGTGGTTTGCCTTGGCCAAACTAAATAATTTACAGATGACCATCACGATAACAGACATATCACTTTGCAGGATTGAGTATAGATGGATTTTCGCCGCTTTTAGCAACATTCCAGCATTATTACTGAAGGATTTCCAAAATGTATCCATGTGGGAATCGAAAACGAATCTTAGGTGTGACGAGCGAGCGCTTCAACCACAGGGCTACGCTAACGCTGTAAACCATCTAAACAAAAGTGTAAAGTTTACTTGAAAAATGAAATCGTTTAAATTGTCAAAAATTGCATTGCCTACGATACTAAACATGAGAATGGTTCATTTGGACGAAAAGGCAAGTAAGGTACAACACAATACAAGAAAACCGAACTCACCAGCTCCGACTACGACAAGGAGAATACACAGGACCTTCATTGTTAAGTGTTCGTCAGATCTTCGCAACAGCAACACAGGCAATGACCAGTTGGGAAACCTCGGAATATATACACCTTGTAGCAACGCCAACTAGCGTCCGATGCCCACCACCAATTAGAACTTCCACTCCAGTTTAGATACATTACTGATATAATTGCGTCAATCAGAATACGAATCGCATGAGATCCCCAGGAGGTCATGCATGAGGGATGGTTGATATTGACAAATCATGAGACATGTCACAGCATGTAGCTGTTGTTGCGCGTTGGTTACACTGACCTAACTTGCAAAATATATGGTGACGATGTGTGTGATGTTGTATCAATAATAATAACAATGAAATAATAATAATAATAATAATATTAATGATGAAATAAATAATATTAATTATATTTGAATATGTCATTACCATCATCATCATCAATAATTATATCCATAACAATTAATTCTGAAAGACAATTTCAGTTTGATATTTTTGCTCAAGTTGATGGATATTATTTTTTTCTCTCGTTCTATATGGTCACAAGACTGGTTAAATGTTCGCTTTCACGACATTTGGTTAAAGCGTTCGCTCGTCACGCCGAAGAACCGGGTTCGATTCCCAACATGGGATGAGATGTCTGTAGTGCATTATTGCATGCTGAATCTAGTGTCATTCTTTGATGTTAATTTATGCGAACAAACGAAGGACTTTAGAAAACTTAAGGCTGGATATGATTGATAGAGGAACTGTGGCTGTCTGTAAGGAGACAATTAGAACTGAGCTGCATGCAATGGGTTGGCAGAAAAGTCGAGGAATTCCATCACTGATCATGAAACCTGAACAAAAGGAGCGAAGGATGAATTGGTGCTTACAGCATAGAAATTTTAACTGTGACAATGTGATTTTCTCAGATGAAAGTTCTGTGTGGCTGTTTCCTAATACACTGAAATTCTGGACCAAACAAACTGAAAAACCTTTGCATCAGCGCCCAAAGTACAGTCCGAAATTTAACGTTTCGGGTGGCATATCTGTGTTAGGGGCAAAGCCCCTCTGTGTATTTAAAGGGAATATGAACAATGAGCGGTATACAGATATTCTCGAGGGACATTTACTTCCATCTGCTCACGTGTTCTATGGAAATGTTTGGATTTTCCAGCAGGACAGCGACCCAAAACATCGTTTAAAGCATTCACATGCCTGGTTTCGGATATGACATTATAAGATTGGCCAAGCTATAACCCTGACCTAAATCCAATAGAAAATGTTTTGGGACTTATGAAGGAAAGTGTCAATAAAAAAATATCTGACAAATATTGCTGAAATGAAAGAAGAGGTGGTCCGATATTGGGACAGGATGGAACACGACTTTCTAACTTCTTTGATCAGTAGTATGCCCACCGCATTAAAGCCTCCATTGCTGCCCATGGTGACTTGACAAAATACTAACTGTTCAACTGTCTTTGAATCTGGAGTTATTTTCTGCTAATATTCACATTTAATACGTGAGTAATGAGTGAAATTTTTTTTAAAAATTACAATCTTTAAATTCTCAATAATTTCTGGTTGTTCTGTATTATAATATATACATGTACTCATTCCAATAATGGTTGTAACCCCTTCAATTTTTATAATTACACACACACCAACCCCGTACCCAACCCCCACCCCTCTAAATCAATTGTAAAAGCATCTTCGATGTAAGCTGGTGACAGAAGTACACATGGAGAGGAATCTGAAACACTGTTCGAAATTGGACAGAGAGCATGGAATTCAGGCCAGAAATTGGCCAGGGTTAAAAAAACAGTTTTAATGTCCTGACATATGTAAGGGTGGATAATCAACTTTGCCAGAAAGTATAAAGTAAGGGATTGGGTTGTGTCCAGCAGTGTGAAACACTGACCAGAGAACCTTACCGCCTGTTAAACCCGAGGAAAGGAAAGGACCTCTAAAACATATGAAAGCTCTCTGAGACCACAGCATGAAAGTAAATTTCATTTTTAGTCTCTTTATTTATCAAGCTGTGACTCTGAAATACTTCCAGGAAATCAAAAATATTTCTTTTTTACTGTTTGAGCTTACCAATTTCACTTATTGCCAGTTTAAAGACAATGAAGTGAAAACATCATTCTAAGATGCCTAGCGGTTAGAACAATCCCCCCAAAATACATTATCAGACACTAAAGGTATAGTTTTTTGATGACGTAACAATTGAATGACGTTATCCTGTCACTGCGCCATTCTAGTCTGCCCACTCGTAATCAAACCATTTTACATTACGTCACAATGTAAGCGACGTCACGATGCATGTCAGTTGTCATCGCCTCGTACGGCCTCCTACATTAAACTACTCCGTTGCATCACGTTTCTTGGTTTGCAGGTGCTTCACGCAGCTGACAACACTGGTGGAAACATTACGTTTATGTTTTACGACGGTAGCGTCCTCGTACTTTAACTGTAATAGTTCAGGGCAAAAGAGTGCTTTATTACACTATACATGGTGGTAGAGCGAACTGTATTTCTTATACATAATTTAGGGAATGATATTGGCTACTCTGAAACATACAACTTCATGGATGACAACTTCTTGTTTATTCTGTTAAGCGACGTTTCGATGTAGATTCTTACATCGTTATCTAGCTAATGTCGCCGTGGTTTGGTGGGTACATAAGTAAGGCCTTTGGCTAAGAGGTTGATTTGGTTTTTGGTGATAGTCTTGGTGCTGATGTTGATGACTTCTTGATGTACTGTTCCTGGGTCACTCTGGAGTCAGATGTCTTAGAGTTCGATCTTTTGTTGTCCTGGAGTTGATGCAGCTTGTTGAGATGGATGGCAATAAACAAGAAGTTATCATCCATAAACCGCTTAGCCAAAGGCCCTTTGTTATGTACCCACCAAACAATGGCGACATTAGCTTGATAACGATGTAAGAATCTACATCGAAACGTCGCATGTGAAAGTTGTGTGTTTCATTGTTTGACTCACCAACTTCTAGAATGCCGATCAAACAATTGGCAACTCTGCCTAAAGGTGATTATTTGTAACCACAATTAACAGTGCTTGTCAATATGAGCGTGTTTCTCTATAATAATATACTTCCTTTCAAAAGTTTAGAATCGAACACAGATCTTTGGTGTATCCCCACCAAATCAGTATCTTTTCATCGCTCCCAATAGAATGAAATAGTTATATACTTCCCATCAAAAGAAGTTTAGGCTCACTTAAAGCACTTACTATATGTTATGTATATATACATATTGGTTACATCTAAGATTGATTTCTCCACTAACTCGGGGGAACCAACTGCAAACCTTATGCAGATAAATTGCATGAGGATCATGCATCAAATTGCTGAAAAGCATGTGCAAATATCGAGCATGTGAATAGCTGCGTTTTGGTGTAAAGTTTTGTTAAGAATTCGCCAATTTTCACTGATTTGTATCATTTATTGAACTCATGACAATAATCGTTTGAACGTTACAAATTTGTTTTACAACACATCAGTTCATGTGTAAACCGTACCTTTAAACAGCATGGAATATTTTGCAAAAAATTAGTTTAGAACAGTTGCCCGAAGTAAGTGGTTATATTTACACTAGTGAGTCTAAACTTTGATGGGTAGTATATATGGGTTATAGGGTGACAGGATTACACGGTGTATTTGGCTCAACAAGGGAGATAATTCAGTAATGTTGAACACTGTCATATCATTCAGAAGCTTAATATTACATTCAACAAGTGGGTATTAGAGTGGAATCTGTCAAATCCGGACTCTGTGTAATCCGATTTTCTCCATAATCCGGACTAATCTAAGCAGGTCCTGGGGATTTAGTATAATCCCTAATTCGTGATACAAACTAAACAATCTGCACATTGAAGCTTTAAGGGAGCACTGTCAGAAATGTGTAATGGATGCGGGTGACCGATTGATGGAACTTGATAGTGATACACTGTGGTGGCTAAGCTGGACTGGGTGACTTAATAATAATCATGTCTATTTATATTGCTCTGGGTTCAATCCACAGAGGTGCATGCTAAAGGCGCTACAATAGTCACAGATGAGAAGTTCACGGGAGGAGATAGTTCGTGGGGATAGAACTTTCTAATGAGAAAGGTTTTTAGGTTGGTTTTGAATGTCTCAAGGGTGGGGGATTCTTTAATGTTCTGAGGTAGAGGGTTCCATAACTGTGGTGCTGCTACTTGAAACGATCTGTTGCCGTAGGATTTTAGTCTTGAGTTTGGTACTGCAAGTAGGCGTTGGTTTTCAGACCTTAGACCTTAGACCTTAGACCATAGGCTGGTATGGTGAGATCAGTTCTGATAGATAGCTCGGTGTTGTACCATTCAAACAGTGGTAGGCAAAACACAAGATCTTGAAGTGGATCCGGGCTTCTATTGGTAGCCAATGTAGGGACATCAATACCGGTGTTATGTGGCATCTTTTTGGTGCACGACTCACAATACGAGCTGCCCTATTGTGTACCTTCTGGAGTTTGTTCAGCAGATCCTGACTCAAACCATACAACAGACTGTTGCTGTAGTCAATGCGGGACATCACAAGTTGTTGGACTAGTGTATTTGTTACGTCTTTGGTAATAAGATGGCGGATATTAAACAATACTTCTTAGATGGAAGTAGCAGGTCTGGCACACTTGATTAACTTGGGCTTCCATTGACAAGGGAGAATCAAAGATGACACCAAGGTTCTTTGCTTTGTCGACTTAAATGTACTATATGTACCTACGTGGACAAGTGCCATAACCTCTACATGGCAGTAGACGATGTCAAAGTGAAAGAATAGTGAACAGACAAAAGAAACAACAATCTATACACTTTATTAGAAATATGACATAAATTACACGTATAGGAAAGTATGTATACAACACTAAGAATATATCAGTCTTTGTAATATGTTTAAAATAGAGATGATCTGTTGAACTCAATACTCTTTGTACACGAGATCATTACATTCCACCCACTGCTTGTCCACGAAGAACATGGGGATACAGTCGTGGTTGGGGCACACGTCGAATCTAAAACAAATGCATCCTGATTTAGAAAGAGGATGAAGATTACCTATTAAACGTTAAACAAGTATACGCTACACAGAAATTCAGACCCTTGAAGACCCGGGTTAGAATT